CAATTTGGAAGTTCATAAGCACATTGTTGAATATAATCATCTTGACTGTGTATTGTGAAAATTCTAAACTGTCATGTACAGTAAGATTTTGGTTTGATGAGAATAAAGGGAATTATAAGCGGATATTTAAATCACTGTCTTTTTGTGTACAAAGATACTGGAACTGTAGTTTTCTGTCATAACTTGAAAAGATATATTCTCCTCAATCCATGGATTATATTCTAAAGTAGCTAAGGTTTTCATTAACTGATTTTGTGTGATGTTCCTGTTTAAGTTCGTTAAAGTGTATCAACTAATTACTAATGTATAAAAATTTACAGGGGTCTCAAACTCATTTTGTAAAAGTGAAATACTTTTTTATTTTTTGAATATTTAACTTCTGGGTTGGGTTAAAACTGTATGATAAAAGTATTAGAGACATTGACCAGCATTATGCCGCCAATACTGACCCTGATCTTTATAAGAAATGCCTTTCCCTTCAAACAGAGTTCAATCTAATCTCCACTACTGAGGCCAGAAATTTGTCATTGAGGTCTGGGCAGCGTTCCTATGAGTCAGGTGACAAGGCTGGGAAGCTCCTTTCGCACACCTCAAGACTTATTCCAGCTATAAAATCATCTTCGGGTGAAACTTGAAAGATATGCAACATGTTTGTGGAATTGTATGCCTCCCTTTATACTTCGAACTCCCCACGCAGTACTGATTTTATTCTGGATGCTATACATTTTCCTCATATTCAGGAAGAGTCTGCAGAATCCTTTGGAGCGCCCATTACAACTGCCGAGGTACAGGAGGCTATCAGCTCACTTCAAGGTGGTAAGTCCCCTGGACCTGATAGTTTCAGAGCTGACTATCATAAGGCCTTCTCTACCCTACTGAGCTAGCCTGGCCTTAGCCATCCGTACACTCTGCTCAATTATCATTTAGCTGCATGCAACGTCTGGGTCTGGTCACTGTGTTTGCAATTACACAATCGGTTGAATTCCATCCGACCAATCAGCGAGCACGGGAGTCGGGTATTGTAGTTAGTTGTGGGTGACGTCAAGTGTTTGCGCTGAACGGGCAGGTTTTAGTTTGGAGCAAGAGGAATGTTTAGCAATTGTAATTGCTGGCAAAGATTGTGGTGCTACTTCCTACGGGCTCCATTAGTGGCAAAGGAGATGGCTAGGCTAAATGCTAAATGCTAACGACTTATTCGGGCGCATTACATACGTCACAGTAAACTCAGATCCAATCATTTCAATCTGCAAAAGGAGTTTACCCCTCCCACCTATTCACGGAGCTCAATGGAGCACCTCCAGACCTTAGTACGAAATGTCATATGTACTATGGTGTGGTACGACCAGGCTACTACTGAGCCCCTACTTGAAAGACATGTACAATGAGGCTTTTTCCTTTGGTCACCTTCCAGACGCTCTTTCTGAGGCCACAATCTCCCTGCTTCTTAAAAAGGACAAAGATCCTCTGGCTTTGCAATAATTATAGACCGATTTAGCTCCTGAACATTGATTTGAAAATGTTGACAATAATTCTTGCTTCACGGCTTCAGAAAATTCTGCCATCAATCATTGACTTGGACCAGACTGGCTTCATGTCAGGCAGACAATCGTCATGCAACACCAGACGTCTTTTTAATATCATTACTTCTTTGGTGCCAGAAGTTGTTGTCTCTCTCAATGCTGAAAAAGCCTTTGACAGGGTCGAATGGTGCTTTTTGTACAATGTGTTGTCCAGATTTGGATGTGGAGTTACTTTTATCGACTGGGTGAAAGTTCTTTACTTCTCCCCAAAAGCCTCACAATTCCCTTTACATCGAGGCACTAGACAGTGGTTCAATTTTGGTAATTGAACCACTGGCTCTCTGGCTGCGTTCAGAAGAAGCTTTTAAAGGAATCAACCGCGTAGACTCTGTTCACAAGGTCTCATTCTACGCAGATGACCTCCTCTACTGTATGTTTCTGATCCCATCAACTTGTTCCCGGTAATCCCTAACATTTTACGAGAATATGGCAGTGTATTGTCTGTTTCATGGTACGATGACGGGATCTCTGAGCCTGGCCTCCTCCATCTACACCTGCGGACTGCCCCGCCCGACCCGCCTGGGAGTGCTTCAGTCCTGCACCGGACCTGTCCACGTTCAGCGGCCACTGGTCCACGTTGCTAGCTTAGGTCCTAGATCATTAGCCTGTCCGTCCGGAGGAGCGGATCCCTTTCTCAAATAGGTCTCCCTCCTTGTGGGTTTCCCTAGTTCTCCCCAAGGTTTCTCACTTTTTCCCACTGGGTTTTTTAAGAGTTTTTCCTTGTCGATGCAGGAGGGTCTTGTTGGACAGTTAGTGTCCAACAGAAAGGATTGGTGATGATCAGGACACTTTAGCATTCTACAACATGTATGGACATTTTCTTCTGTGTGTGCTTTATATTTTTCGTGTGTTTTAACTGTTGATTCTCTGACCTGTGTTGGTGATTTCAATGGTTTTGTTAAGTCCTCTGAGATGACTTCTGTTGTGACCTAGGGCTATACAAGAATAAATTGTATTGTATTGTATTGTATTGTATCTGGTTACAAACTTAAAAAAATGATCTTTTGC